GTGCTGGAGGGAGCTAGCTTAAAGCTGGTTCCCCCCAGCACTAGCTCCTCAGTGCCACTTGCCCTGCCACACCCACACCCGCTACCATCCTCCCCATGGACAAAGGCTGCTCCACATCCCACAGACCAAGATTAGATAAAAACTGAAGCCCACCAAAGGAACAGTCACTCCCTACAAATCAGCAGTGTAGAATTTTTGGGGTGGGGCGGTGGGAAGGAGGGTGAGAAATGTCTTCAATAACCTCAGATAGACTTTGCCTTGATCCTCCTCCAAAGCTTCCAATTAACTCCAGAGTTCTCTCTTCCAGTCAGATTTCCACACTGTTCTTCTTCCCACCCTAAGCAAATAGCCCTGATCACATGTGCTCTCAAAAGTGAAGCACCTTCATTGTTCTATATCTAATTCACTGCTGCATACACTAGACATGTAAATAGCATTTAAAAAAAATAAAAACCTAAACAATTAAAACTATACTGATCAAACACTTAACCATTAACCAGTTCACAACATGGGTGCGAGAAGCAAGCCTGCGGCAGGTGCTGCAGCACCACATTTTACTTGAGGTCCCACGTAGGTTTGTGAAAGGTTAACTGGTAAGGGCTGGAGTAGCTTCCCACCTGCTGCGAGCAAGGAGCAGCAGGATCCTGCCCAGATCCTGCTTAATCAGTTAACTGGCTAAATGTTAGGTCTCTCTAATGTTTAACTGATTAACCAGGATTTTACATTGCTAGTCCCAGTCCTTTTACCTCCGTACAGATCTGCCTTCCCCCAGAGATATGTAAGCATTAACTGAATACATTAGCAGTAAGTCTGATTTATATTAGTTAATCAGTTAACATTTTACATCCCTCATACTCACTCCGCTCTGAACTGCAGAGCTCAAGCCCCAAAGATGCTCTTAATCTACATGCTGTCTGCATGACAGGGCCAATTATTGACTAACACTTCCATCATCTTGTAAGAAACACAGGCAGCAATGTCCAATGCCACACCAACCAACTCCTGCTGCCACTAAATCGTGTACAAATGCATTTCAAACAGAAATCTGATGTTCCTGTTGCTTTGTTTTTTTAAAGTAAAAAAAATAAATCTGTGGACTAGAAGGCTTTTGGATTCAAGCTTGCTTTTGCAGAGCTAAATAAGAGTGGTCCCACAAGCAGTGTGTGCTATTTGAAAGTATTTATCAAGAGAGGGTGCTGTTTTATACACACTGAAAACTGCTGTCTCAACACAACAGTTATTTTTAAATTCCTGGTACATATTTCTGAGACATTTACAGGTATGGAATATCAAGAAAGTAGATAACAGAGAGGCAGCGCGGGGCACAAACAAAAAAAAATATTTTTGCTCCATACCACCAATCTGAATTCAGTCACCCATGACTGAGAGTCATTATACTGAAATTTACTGATATGAAGACCCTCAGAGACCTCACATTTTTTAATTTTTAAACCCCTCCATACACCTAGGTCAGCTAGGCCAAAAACAGGCCAGAGATTTGAGCCTCTAATAGCAAGAAGGTAATGTCTTCACTAGATTACCCCCTCCCCTCAAAAAATTATTATTATTATTATTATTTTTTACAGAAAAGTCACTAAGGCATATTTTAGTGATCTGGCTATAAAAATTCTACTGGAGATAAGGCACAAGTCCTTTTTAACAAAATGTGGCTAGGCACATTTCCTCGCACCTTACCTAGGTACAGAGGGTAAAAACTGTCCATGCCTTCTCTCCACTAGGATTCATATCAGGGGTGGGATGTCTCAGGCCCAAGGGCTGGATGCAGCCCCTGGTTTGACTGGATCCAGCCCGTGAGGTTCAGCATTGGGGAGCCTGCGTTGGTGCTCCAGCCACCCAGGCATCTACTCACAGGGCTAGAGCACACAAAATCTACTACCCTGGGCCCCCATAGGCTCTGGTGCGTGAGGAGAATGTGGGGAGTGCCTTTGTCCTTCTCAGTCAGTGCTTCTCACTTTTGTGCAGCCTCCGGCTGATTTTTCTGTGGGTCAGTGATAGGGATGTTAAAGACTAGTTGACTATCCAATAATCAAATGCTTATTAGATAGTCAGGTGACTAGTCGATTCCCCCCCACCCCCCTTGCTGCCTCTATCAGAGGCAGCAAAGAGTGGGGGGGAGGGGAAGAGAGAAAGGGTACTTCAAGGTGGCATGGAACACGGGGTCAGCTGGGGAATCCCTAGCTGACCCCAGGTTCCACTGTGGCGCAAAGCCCAGAATCAGGTGGGGAGTCCCCAGCTGACCCCGAGTTCCATGGCAGCGCTGTGGAGCCCGGGGTCAGTTGGGGACTGCCCAGCTGATCCCGGGCTCCGCACAGCATGCAGTGCAGCATGGAGCCTAGGGTCAGCAGGGGACTCTGAGTCCCCTACTGACCCCGGGCTCCATGGCTTTGAAAAGCACAAGAGCCCCCGCTGGGGACTCTTGTACATTTCAAAGTTGGTACCCATGTGCAGCCTGGAGTCAGCGGGATTTCCTGCTGGCCCAGGCTGCAAGCAAAGTTCTGCATTCCTCCTTTGAAATGTACATTTTACTTGTATATTTTAAAGGAGAAATGCAGAAGTGCCTATTGACTAGTCAATGGAAATTCAATCCACTACTCAATTAACCGCAATTTAACATCCCTAGTCAGTGGCCCCCCCCCCACCCAAAAAGGCTCGCTGCCCCTAATTTATCGTAAGATAGCTAACATGACTTCATGCTCTCATCAGTTACAAATTCCTCCTCCTGTCCACTCCCCACGCTTTTTTTAGGAGGGGGCAAAGATCTAGCCTAGGGACTGGTAACTACTTCGGACAGGCTTTCTGCACTCCCCATGCAGCTCAAAGAGGCCCAGATGTGGGAGCCATGTGGTCTCTACACGCTGCATGCTAGAAATCATCCAAAAGGAGCTGCCTGGGCTGAAGAACCCAATCCTGGGACTCGCAGCATGCAGAGAACACATGGCCCCCACAGCTAGCCCCTCTGAGCAGGCATGTGGGACGGCAGTGTATGTGAAAGGCAGGAAGCTTGCCTGAAAATCCAGCTGGGATGCTGGCCAGGAGAAGCCTAGGTAAATACCTCCTAACCAGAGCCATCCCAGACTGCACCTGCCATCCCAGACCGTCTGTGTCTCAATCTTCTGCTTCCCCTCCTGCACCACTTCCCCAGGTTACAACCCAAATCCTCTGTATCCCCACTTCTGCACTCATACTCCCTCCCACACTCTGCACCCCAATCCTTTGCCCCAGGTCACAACCCCCTGCCAGACCCAGCACCCCCTTGCTCCTCTCTCTTCCAGGTCATAATCCTCTCCTGTACTCATATCCCCTCCCAAGCCCTACAGCCCCAACCCCTTAGCTCCCTTCTACACTCAGCCTCCAGCCCAGACCTCCATTAAGATCATGGGCGAGTGTGGCCCTCAATTACTTACCAAATTCTTACAGTGCCCACCACCATCACAAATTATTGCCCACCCCTGATCTAGCCATACTCCCTCCTGTTTTGCACTGAAGCACCTTAGTATGGCAACACAGGACAAGCTTACAGTACTAACCCCCTGTCCTGCAGTGCACTGATGAACTCATAACTGGATGATCTCCAGCTCTTTACAAAACCTATCACCCCAATACACAGAAAGGGAAGATGAAGCATGAGTTTCAGTGACTTTCCCCAGGTTCACAGACAGAATCAGTGGCAGCGCGGCTGCCCTGACTCATTGCTACCCTGCACTAACACGCAGGCGCCCCCGCCTGCCTTAAGCCACGCTCAGCAGCCGAACAACAAAAACCAACAGACCTAACACAACGTCACATTTCAGCA